CAGGTTGTGTTTACTCATATGAATTCAATCCGCAACCTCTTAACCTCTGAGAAACGGACAAGTGCTTCATCAGAGCATGTGTCAACCCGGCTCCATTAGGCTCATGTGTAACTAATGCTATGATCTCTTCGGCCTGTATAACGCCACAGCAGACAGATGCACGCGCACCCGTATTGTGTTACCACTGGCATGGAGCTCGTGTGCTTCTCATGTCCGGGCTTTTGAAGATAAAGGGCCAGGCTGGTCATTGCTCATATCTGCTGTCCAAAAACTGAGTCACCTTGAGGTGTCAATCATTTCTGCTCCTTTAGTCATCTGTCGTTCAATGCGTGTTATTCCGACGGTTATTCACAGAGATGAAAGCACACTATGGAACATTAGGCTCTCATAGAGACGTGGGATTTACGACAGGAAGACTTTGAAAATAATGAACAGCTTGTCAGACCACACAGATGCGATGTGTACAGAGAATGAAGGGTTGGGGTATGTAAATGTTCTTTTCAGTTTACTACAAAAAGCAGTAGAGCATAAGACTGCACATGCTGTAGAGAGTTTGTTTGTAACAACCAAAATAAATACGAGTTCATGAAATAGTTCTAAAGTCACAGGTGAAACTCAATACTGACATCATGTGGTCATTAAGAGAGGTGCCAAACCCCTCCCTCCCAATTTTTTTTAAAACAGCATAATAATAAAAATAATCTATTCTCCTGTTCTATTTTATACTATAAAAAATATTAATAATTTAATAATAGTAAAAATACATACTTATTTACATACTCTCTTTTGCCTGGAATTAAATTGTTTTCATTCATACAAAGCTATTTAACCACAAATCATGAATTAGGACATATTAATCAAATATATTGTTATCACCTATTAAAGCATAAATACTACTGCCTCCCCTTGAGTCATGATGTAACTCACCAATACCATATTTAGAGCGATAATACTCTTTAGTGAAGTTGTCGCAGTCACATATTAACATCCTACGACCCCACACATTAATGACGCCTCCAATGGTCAGGTCACAGTCTTTGTAGAATTGTTCTTCTACTGCTCCAGTCTGTAAAATGTTAAGGAGACATTGACATACTAGTCCATTAAAACTGAAACAATTGACTACTGAACTAATTAAAAATGGTATTTATAACTATAAACAATTGTTATGAAATTCCTAAGAGGGCATTGATAATGGACCATTTTTTTGTCAGTACTTACCTTGAGGCTATCCAAAATGTAGCGTCCTCCTTGTCCGACTGGTCCGAATACATTGAGGACCGTGCGGTTTGTTATTTCTCCAGGCTGATGTTTGGGAATAGGAGCATGCTGTTTGACACAATCAAGAGCAAAATAATTTAAAAAATGTTATAACTTGAAGGACAAGTGAAATTTGCTAATGGGTTCATAATTAGTTTTTCACTGTGGGACTCCCGCAAAACCTTTTTAGATGACGTTTAGTGAGAGGCAACAGAATGAGTGACAAGACTACATGACAACAGGGGGGGGGGGGGGGGGACCTGAACAAATCCTTCTTCCTTCATAATGAATTTAGACTGCAAAACAAGCAGGGAGGAAACTGAAAAGTGCTTTAGGGAAGTTGGATGTTTCTTTCAGCCCTGTCAGTCTGGATAAAAGCTTGGCATGGAGGATGGAGAAATTTGTCCAAGCAAAAGAGTAGAGAGGAACTGATAACCACTAAACTGGATTGAAGAGTAACCATTTAATTTCAGATTTTTCAAACACATTAATTGAAGTCATCACCTCTGCATTTATTTGATCAAAATACAGTAAAAACATAACAATTTCATATTTGCATGTATTTTAAAATGTGATAGCAAAGCTGAATTTAGTGCTCAAGAAACATTTCTTCTTATTATCAAGATCTGTTAATAAATTATGGATATGTAAATGTAATTTTTTTTGCAGTGCTCTTTTTTACAGACCTTGGGAAGCTTTCCCCTGTGCAGAAATTTAGGGACAGCATCTCGACCAGCGTTTGGAAGGACAACTTCGTAAATTTCCATTGTGTCATCTGCCAGAAAGTAATGCAAGATCAGCTCTCTGGGGTCTCCAAACATGCTCTCGGTATCATCCCAGTAGCAGTAGAAGCGTAGGACTTTGCGGTCATGTTCTAAAAACTGCTTCAGGGAATCTATTCTTTCATACGGCCGCAGTGGCTTCATGTTCTCCTCCATCTGTGAGAGGGAAAGAAACTGTATAATATTGAAGTATTGATATTGCTTTATAGATACATGGTGCTTTCTTACCTCTTGTCGATGTGTGGTATAGGGATCTGCTGGCGTGGAAGCAGGGGGGTTTAGGCGCACCCCCATTTTTATCAAGAAGTTGTGTGTGAAGGGGTCACAGTCCGTAATCATAAAGGTTCTGTTATAGAACACTATTTCCTGATTGATGTTAAAATGGTGCACATTGTAGAAGCAATCATCTTTAGGAGCTGGGAGAGGAATGCGGTGCCTCCGAATCAGGGTTCCTACATAGGAGGAGAACAGATGGATTTAAACAGGATGTTTTTACTGGTTTGTCATTAATCAGGATGCTATACATTTGATTCTGATGGTTTACCCTGTGGGATCCCACTGTTTTTGAACTCTGGCTCCACTACTTGTATGGTGTCATCCTCCAGATAGAAGTAAATCTTGCACTTTCGCACTCTATGTTTTTCTTCCCTCCTCTGAGGTACAGCTTCTTGGAAATAAGCATCAAAACACAGGACCTTCAGGTAAGAAAATAGCGTGGAAAATTAATATACTTTGCACAGCACTAGATAAAATGGCTATATTATGCTCCCTCATAATAATGACAAACCTGTTTGTCAAAAGCAACCCATGCCGGAGCATCGCTGCCCTCTCCCTTTGGAAAAAGTGAATACTTGGGTCTTGCGCTCTGCCCCAGGAGAAGTTCTCCTCCAATGCCTGGCTTCTCTGACCCAACCATCATGGCTACTCCATTTGAATAATCAAAATGCTGAGATTTGTGAAATTTGTCTTTTCCAAGCTGGAAAATAAAATGACACTGTAAACGGTTTTCATCATTTTATGACAGAATCTTTGTTTCTATCAATTGAACTTGTTCTGTCATCTGTAGTTACTTCATTTGATGTGTTTTTGTTTTTCTTCGTCAGTAATTAATGGTTGAAAACATACAATGAACTTCACTGCAGGTTGTGAATTTGGCACCACTTTCAACGTTTTAGGCAGCAATGATTACATAAATGAACTCGCTAACTAACTAAATAGAATAACGTTAGTAGATACTACACACACACGCACGCACTATCAATATTTTCAGTTTTTTAAGTAAATATTCGCAAACCGCTCTACTAACATAGCTAGCCATATTAAACAGCCCTTATTCACATAAAGTTACTTTCCCTCAACACAGACAGAACATTTCTATAGATAATTTTGCGGTATCACTTACATTTCTATTGACTGAATTTCCAGGCAACATTGGTAACGCCATTATTAGTAGCAAGCGATGTAGGATTTTCTCAGTGCAGGACGACCCCAGACTGCTGAGAACTGGTTGCCAAGATAACAACTTGTTTGCAAATATTATTGCTAGGCAACGAAACGCAGATCACGTGACAGTATTTTCATTGGTCTTCAGTTCAAATACGATTTCGCTTGAAAGACACAAATCATATTTCAGGTATATCAATAATAAGTTCTTGTTTTGAATATCTCTGTTTCATAACGCGTAACATGTATTGACAGACAGACACAGATAGATAGGACGGGCAGAAATAAATTATTTTGAGATACTATAAATTACTTATAAACATACTGTAGGATCTAAGTTACTTCTGAATCTCTTCAGACAAATAGGTGTTACTTTAAACTCCATAATCTATTAAGATTAACTGGGTGGCCAAATTCTAAATAAAAGCACTTACCCTGTAATATATATATATATATATATATATATTATTATTTTTTTTTAAACGGCATTTAAAGAAGTCCATGCTTTTGTCTACCATAAATTATATAAAGATGTTTTTATACCTTCATTAAGTTTTGAGGTTTTGTTTCCTTGTAAAAAAACAAAACATCATTAGACAGACCATGAACAACCAGAAAGACATTTTTTTTTATTATTATTTCCACAAACATGTTATTATTGGTGGGTGATTCTGTATATTAAAAAAAAAATCGATCACAAAATAAAACACACAAAAAACAATACATGCTTCTGGACAAGTAAATATTATGGAAATTATACAACTAATTCAAATAATGCATTGTCAAAAAGTACAATAAGAAACACTTTAGCTGTATATATATAAAACAGACCTCATGTTGATGCCTTATTAAGAGTATGCAAAATAAAATAAAACATTTAAAAAATAACATTAAACCAAAACAACAATTTTCTATAAATTTATTGGCACAATATCTCTCTCTTCACCAGGATGATTAAGCTATGTACAGTTAAGAACAGGCATTGTAGAGGAATATATTTAGAACAACAGTTCAGCAAATGTCCATTGCACTGCTTCAGACAATACATCAAGTTTCAGTGTTGTATTGCTGTGATCCCGACATAAGGGAGAATATTAATGTGCAAACTACTTATATCAGTATATTATTATTTTTTTTTAAACGGCATTTAAAGAAGTCCATGCTTTTGTCTACCATAAATTATATAAAGATGTTTTTATACCTTCATTAAGTTTTGAGGTTTTGTTTCCTTGTAAAAAAACAAAACATCATTAGACAGACCATGAACAACCAGAAAGACATTTTTTTTTATTATTATTTCCACAAATATGTTATTATTGGTGGGTGATTCTGTATATTAAAAAAAAAATCGATCACAAAATAAAACACACAAAAAACAATACATGCTTCTGGACAAGTAAATATTATGGAAATTATACAACTAATTCAAATAATGCATTGTCAAAAAGTACAATAAGAAACACTATATAACGCTGTATATATATAAAACAGACCTCATGTTGATGCCTTATTAAGAGTATGCAAAATAAAATAAAACATTTAAAAAATAACATTAAACCAAAACAACAATTTTCTATAAATTTATTGGCACAATATCTCTCTCTTCACCAGGATGATTAAGCTATGTACAGTTAAGAACAGGCATTGTAGAGGAATATATTTAGAACAACAGTTCAGCAAATGTCCATTGCACTGCTTCAGACAATACATCAAGTTTCAGTGTTGTATTGCTGTGATCCCGACATAAGGGAGAATATTAATGTGCAAACTACTTATATCAGTGGCAATACAGTAGATCCAGGTTTCATTTAGGATGCCAGGCCCAGCAGAAAACCTCCAACAAATCCACCCGAGATAACAATATTCCTCTTCACAAATTCTGTCGACTGTAAGAAAAATACACCATTTACAGAATGTAGGATAAGTAACAACTTTCTAAAATGTTACATGCCCACACTAAATAATAATACAAAATGCTTTATTGAACTGTGGGAGCCCAAAATAGCTAGTAGACTGGTATATGAAGTTATGACGGATGGATGAAAGAATACCCACTTCTTCTATAAAGGAATTGAGCTCAGGGGCTGCTTTGTTTGCCTTTTTCTTCAAATGCTTTTTTGCTTTATTGACATCCTTTTCCACTTTCCTCCAGTCAACCTGCACATAGCCACTGTGGTTGGCAATCTGAAATTAGAAAATTAAGATTTTTCCCCCCACTTAAGATGACAAAGAAGCATAATAAACCCTTAAAGGAATAGTTCACTCAAAAATGAAAATTTGCTGAAAATGTACTCACCCTCAGGCCATCCAATGACTTTGAGAAACAATCACTGGAAAAGATTTGGAGAAATTTTGCATTACATCACTTGCTTACCAGTGGATTCTCTGCAGTGAATGGGTGCCGTCAGAATGAAAAAGCAATATTATAGATCGAGGCCTTGTATTTTAGCCTGGAAGGCACAGTTTGAAGTTTAAAATGAATTAATGATGAATTTGTTTATTACAAATGCACAGATTTTCAATTCATAAGATGTTAATGATAAACTAAAGTTGTGTTTTATTGTTATTATTGTGATGTTTTTATCAGCTGTTTGAACTCTCACTCTGATGGCACCCAACAGCCGAGGATCCACTGGTGAGCAATGCTGTAATGCTAAATTTCACATCTACATGAAACACATCTACATGAATGGCCTGAAAGTGAGTAAACATTCAGCAAATTTTCATTTTTTAGTATTGGCCACGACATATGATGCAAGCATTTTAATAATCCATACTTGTAGCAAAAGAAATCCCCCTCCAACAGCAGTAGCCACAATTTTTCCAACTCTCTGAAAAAGATAACCAGCACACCTGGAGGACAAAGGACAAAGCAATTTTGCATTTATTAGTATGCATTATTTCATACATGTAGAATACAATACTGAAGTTGGTGAATCAAATATTACAGCACATACAAAATAGCATAGGTTTCTTAATCTATATTAACACCAACCATCCTGTCACTCCACCCATCATGATCTGTGAAGCCACAGAGTACTTTTCTGCAATGGGTCCTGTACTGTTCCCAAAAACACGACTCCACCATTGATGCCTCCTGGCGTAATCTGTGATGTTAACCACCTCATATAATTCATCTTCACTCTCTGCATCTACACCTGAAAACAAAAGTAACTGTTATACATTAATTGTATATTTACAGCATTCAAAATCGCAAAGCATGGATGCAAGTGAAAATACACCCTTTTATGATTTATTAGGATGTTTTGCATTGGTAAACAATTGGTATACATATTATTCGTGTATTTCCACCCAAGAACCAACTGTAGGTCCACAACCTGTTTTACATTGTTTAATATTTTAGATTAGACCCTTTATGATCTGATTTAAAAACAAAGAAAGTTAAAAAAAAAAAAAAAAAACCGGCACGAACCTTAGGTATTTTAACAGTTATAATAAAGGTCACCAACCTCACCATCGCACCTTATGCTAAAATATCAAACCTGAGAGCAAGGCACTTCAGAGGATATTTTGAATGTATTCACCGACATGCAGTTACAAAGACATGAATGAGAATTAAAACCGTATGAGAGTGGATTTTCAGAGATTTAGCCACATGATATTTGTACAGTCTGCCCACATAATAATCGATCACTATGCTGCTCTAAGTTACTACATTGCAAACTCTTGGAATCTCGTTGCATATAACCTATAAGGTTAAATAAACACGTTGTCAATCAAGGCTCTTTATTCAAATGTTTGGTTGGCCAATTTGTTTACCTTCACCGCGATCCGCCATTTTATGAGGCTCCGTTCACACTCAACGCTGCTGCAGCTCTACGCAAAATCCTGCGTAATTTCCGTGCGATCACTGGCTACAGACTCCTACGATCGCTTGCATGCGTTATTCACAAAATACTCCGCAAATTATTTCAAGTGTAATTTTTGTCATTTTACATTTTAAAATATTGTTTACCTACAACATCAGAGGTCTTTTACACATACTGCCTGAAGCGGACTTAATTTCAATAAGAAACACTGTAGTATTTGTATAATAATACTTAAGCAAGGGAGTAAAAAGAAGTGAATTATTTCTTTCTTCTCTTTTTTACTTTCTTGCTTAGTATTTTGAAGGATGTAGAGATATCTCTAATAACTTTAAAGAGAATAGTGGAAGAAAGAAAGAAAGACATGTTAGGATAAGATATGGTAGAACATGATAGGATAGGATGATATTTTATGTGATATGAATAGAATATTTATTAGGTCTATCTGAAATTTAGGAATTACACCATTAGACAAACACATAACTGATAACTACAAACAATAAAATTAAATACAGTTTCAATTCACTACCATACTATAATAAAAATTATAGAACCCTGAGTGAAATTGTATGTACATTAGAAAGAAAGAAAGAAAGATAGAAAGAAATATTCCACATTTGCCACCTAATCTGGAGTATTGAAAATCATACTAGCTCATGTAACAAACTGCCTTTAACTGTAGAAATCAGGCAACGTTTTCCTTACATCCTCAAAACCCTGAGTTTTCAAACAGACAGATGCGTTTTATGTTGGTGTTACGTAATCATAATAAATCCAGGTGAGCCAATCGCAGCAGGCGAAGATGCGGCGTAAAGTTAAGGGGTTTGTTATTTACCCTCCCCCTTGAAAGTTTATATGAAAAAATGGATCCCAAGACAAGGCCGATCACGTGGTCTCCACCGAAAGCAGCCATTGGCCAAAACCACAGAGAAGGCGTTCCGACGGCGGCGGCGTGGGTTCGCTTGAGTGACACAATTATAACAAGTTTGAGCTGGCGAATAGGGGGAAGTTTGAGATATTACTAAATAACAATTTGCCGTTAAATCCTGCATCGCTCGTTCTGCATGCATTTTGGTGTACCTTGCGACTCATTTATGTCGAGGACAATGTGAAAACGGGGGTGTTCCGAGGAAATTATTTTCCGTCTATTCTTTTTTGCGTTTGGATCCACGCAAAAAGGTGCTCGGCTTGCGGTGCGTAAATATCTTCGCTGGAGTTTTTTGTCTATGAAATCGTGCGGAGTGTCAGTGGCCGCTGTAGCTCGCGCTGCTGCTGGTGATGGTGATGAGGAAAAGAAAATGGCGGCGGGAAAAGCGAGTGAAACCGAGGAGGACTTTCCGAAGCTTACGCCGCAAGAAAGGGAGCGCTTAGCCAGCGTAGACAGGTCAGTTAAAGCCCCTTTACTTGCACCGATGACCCTCCGTGCATTTTTACGAGCCTTCCCCGCATGTTAAAGCGGTGCAAATGAATGCGGTGCAGGTAAAGTAACACGGAACCGCCTGTGTTGTCCTCTATTTGCAGCACACTGTTTGGATTTCAGAGGCTTCATGAAGATGGCGCCAGAACGAAGGCCTTGCTGTTAAAGGTATGAGTGTATGACACTGATGGAGGTCTGGAGACAGATAGACACATAACTCTGCAAATCATATAACATCACTCTGCAAGTATACTCGTATTGCACAGAAAAATGCGTAATGTTGATACAACACAGTATGCAATGACACTCAAGGGGGTCTGTGTAGACATACATTTATACTTTATTATTCAGCTGCAACACACAGTCAGAATAACGCACAGAGAACCATTGCATTGTACAGAATAATGCAGTGTGCGTGACACTTTTATGATGCTATACATCAGATGTATATTGTACTATACAGTAATGATATACTTAAAAGGATATTTTAAAAGTTGGTTATAGTACATCCAACTTCATCCGCATACATACTCACGTAAAGCAATAAATAGCACATCTGCGTGATTGTTTATCGTTGCAAATTTAAACTATATTGTCGCCCAGCTCTAATCTGCTAAATGCGACTGCGTGGAGATATGATATCGTAAATATTAACTTTTCATGAAACTGACTTGATATAGGCTGCACAATGCATGTCAGTAATGGGCATCTGTAGTTGCTCTGTGGTGATTATTTTAAATATTAATCTGCTTTGAAAGTTATTTAAACTTAGTGTTATATTAGTTGGGGTGCTGGCTTTGTCGAGTTCTTGCGCATGTAAACAGCAGTCAGACTTCATTTTGTGAAGTAAAGCTATTTTGTATAAAGCCATTTTCGCCTATTATGACCTCGTTCACCCATTGTCAGTGCGACTCTGTAATGAAGAGTTGAGAGTAATGTTAATGAGGGGGTTGTTTTTATTCGTTTGCCACCATTTGAATATCGGTTAAGCAGTCGAAGGATGTTTGATTTTATGAACCATCTTAATTATAGAGAAACGTGTCTTATCTTTTTTTTGTTTTTTTTTAGCCATAAGGTGTATCTGTCGTATGATAGTGGTAAACAATCTCAGTGTATACGTTTAGCTAGCCGAGCTGTTCACACTCGGTTAGGTCAAAGTTGTGAATTATTATTATTATTATTCTTATTTTGCCGATTAGACCAGACTGTAGGCTATTTTAGAGTTTCAAGATGAACTGGGAAGGTTAAAGCTACATGTTAGCTGGTTAGCATGATGCTAACCAACTGTAACTGCATGTGAGGAGAGTCATTTGAACGCTACTGGGCTCTTTTCAGTCCGATCTCAACAGCCAGGCTTTCAGTAAATCAGTAGTCAAGTTGCTTACGAGAACTTGTGTGAGGTTTAACATTGCATTTGGCAGATTTGAGTACTTCTGAAGGGGTTTGTCATTATGGCCGAGCAAGTTGACTTTTCCAGGTTGCCTTTGCAAGCAGCATTTGTTGTAGTAAGTAGGTCGGTGCTGGATGTTTTGTCACTTTATTTGTTTTAAGGACTTTTGTTTTTATTTATACGTATGTCTGTTGTTTATAACATAAGGAAAACATATAATTGTGTTTTAAAAAATTAATTGTCCTATTGTAGGACCCATGAAGTAAACATGAACTGCAGTAAAGTGATGAAGAGAAAAGATTAAAAAGTCCAACTAACTGTGAATTTTTTTTTTCTTTTTCTTTTTTTTAAATCTAAAGTATAAATGTAAGCTTGTAGACAAAACTATACTGAAAAACAATTATATTAATAGCTTGGAATTATTGTTCAACTTCATAGACATTAATTTGCCACAAGAACTGCCATAAATAATTAATGCGTCTTAAAAAATAGTGACGCATCAATACCAAAATACGTTCATACCTAAAATGATAACTATAATAGTAACTAAAGTTTTAATAATCATTCTAAAGGCCCGTTCACACTATGAAAGATAACTATATTTGCATCCACAACAACAGACAATAATGTTCTGGTTATTATAAGCTCTAGTTGTAGTTTTGTCATCGTTAAGTGCTCAAGCTCTTTAAAGTTCGGTGGATTCTGATGGGTTGTCAGTGTTTTTATTGTTCATCAGCTGAAAAAAAAAAACAATGTCCTTATTGTTATGGCTGTGGTGTGGACTTGACTATAATCAAGATTATTATTAAAACGTAGTAACTTAAGAGTTATCATCCTTGCTGTGAATGACTGAGAATAGGGAAGTTCACAACACAGCTACAAGGATATAATTGATATAACTTTCTGAACGATTATTTCCATCGGATGAATGATAAAATCATTGCCAAACAGAATCGAACACACTTTAAGGAGCTAAAGCATTTAAAGTACCGTTTTTCAGGGTTCTAATGAACAGAACATTAGGGCCTTTCGCACCGCTTTAGTTCCAGAACTAAATGTACAGTACTAAAGTACTGGGATGATTTTGCGCGAACTATTTCCCAGTACCATTTAAAGGGTTGCATTCTCACCGACAGTGTGTACCTAGAAGTGACGTAAGCTGGTCGACAGCGACGTCATTTGTGTGCGGCGTTCAACAACAGAAACAAAGAAGAACAACATTAACAACAGGAGGATGGAGGAAGCTGTGATCGGAGCTGTGTTTTTGTTGTGTCTCGCGGGTTTCACAATAATGGATGGTACTAACATCGCACCTAGTTCCGGCGGTGCGAAAACGCCAAAAAGTGGGTAGTTCCACAATTAGTTCTGGTACTATGAAAAGGTTCCCGTGGTGCGAAAGGCCTATTATTGTGCATTGGTGTGGTTTAGAGCCCAACCAATATATCGTTTTGCCGATTTTATTGGCCGATATGAGCCTGTCGCAGATATATCGGTATCGGTGAAAATGCTGCCGATATGCCACCAGTATGACATTTTTTTTACAGAACATAAAACGCAGATAAAATGCTTGTAAATGGTGTAATTACGTAGTTAAGTGTATGGAATACCATTGAAATTTTGAACGACCGTATCTCCGTAACATCGCTACGTAACAGGGAATCTAACGATCCCGGGGAGCTACCAACGCATGGAGGGTAGAGTTCGAGAGGGCTCCTCAAGCTGAAGGGATCCCCCAAATTTAGTTGGGATCCGCCGGCGCGTTCGCGAGATAGTGACACCAGCCAACACTTTCACTTCAGTAAGGAGGCCTCTTGTTCAGGCAGCAGCATTCAAGTGTTGTCTTATTCCAGTTCCAAGGGAACGTACACGTTACATTCAAAGGACATTAAAGTGTGCGAGACGTGAATTTAAATTGTATTTATTTACAGAGGTATATTATGTCACACTTTACACTTCTCTAGTAAGTTTCATCTGTGTGTGAAGACAGTAGCGTGAATGAATGTTCCAAAGTGAAATAAACGTCAACGGAATAGTTGAATTGAATTGAAATAAAGTTGAATAAACTTCAACTTTACTGTTAAGTGCACTGATATCAGACTCATTTTGGATAGAGATGCACCGATTGCGAGTTTTATTTTCATTAAAAAAAAAAACATGTAAAAAGTCAGTAATAAAATAAGAACAAATACAAAAATTGCAAACAACAGTTTTTCAGGTTACGTATGTTTTTTTTATTCAGGTAAGAAATACTACAGAAATTAAAGTAATCAAATGTAGAATAAAACATCCAGTGTTTTTACATTTGATTACTTTAATTTCTGTAGTCTTCATTGTAAAAATTAAATACAGATTAATGCTTACCATTAAAGTTATAAAACGTATTCAGTCAAGAGCAGAAAGTGATTTTCTTTGTCTTTTGTTCTTTGATTAACATGACAGAGAGCAGCAGGAATATTGGACTGTGGTCCCTTTAAGAGTTTATCCACGGACCCAATAGAGGGCCTGTTTACACCTGGTCATTTCATGCTTTTTCGCTGATCGGATATCTATCTGATTTTTAAAAATGTTTCCGTTTACACTTGGCCATATAAATGTGTCGTCGCAAAACAAATATAAATTCGATCTTCAATTCCTGCGCTATATTTAAATTTAACGGAGTTCACGTCAACGAAATCAAAAGATAAGCGCTGCATTTTATTAATTATCAGCTCATTTCAAGATCAAAGACCGCAATAGGAGAGCGTGCGGCATCAGCACTACTACTGTAGTAAGTTTGTCTTACTACTTTTAATGAAGATGATTGTGTGTTGACCGTCTGCGTCTTTCAGTTTCGTCTGGAATGCGGCCCAGACCACCTCCTGAAGTGGTTTGAGCGATCTGATTTATATCCGTCTCGAAAGCGTTTCGGAGGGCATTTACACCTGGTGTTTTCACGATCGGATAGCTATCCGCTCAGAAATAAACGCATAAAGTGACCAGGTGTAAACAAGCCCATGTTACATAACATGCGTTCTCTTTCTCAACTATTTAACGTTCAAAAACGGACTGGGGTCGTCGGAGAGAAGAGAGCGAGAATGCGCGGCTGACGTTATTGCCTCTGCCGCTGGTAACAAAATGGATCGACTCGGAATCGGAAAGAAGTGAGACTGACTGACTGATCACCGATCCGGGCCGATCATGAGGAAAATCGGCCGATTCCGATCCCTTGCCGATTGATCGGTGCATCTCTAATTTTGGATAATAACGTTTATTGTTAAATGCCTTCCTCTAATACATATCTTTGTCACGTCATTATAAGTGTTTGATCACCACATTTGAGTGATCATTGAAAAAAATGTTTGTGTATATATATTCTGTTTATGTATATACTGTATTCTATATATACTAGGGGTGGGAATCACCAGAGGCCCCACGATACCATAATATAACGATACTTGTGTCACGATACAATATTAATGTGATTTTAAATATATTGCGATATTCTGCGATAAATTGCAATTTATTACCTTTTTCCAACTTCAAATTATGTTCCCAAATGAAAACTTTGGCAACATCTATTTTAACTAAAAAGAAACATTTCTCAGTTTGTTTCTCGCTTCAATTTTATTGCTGCAGTGCAAAATGGGATTGTCAAGCAGACAAACTGACCAACACGTTCATGAAAACCTGTCATAAATGTTGTATGCACCTGGCAAACTCAACCATTTGTATTACAGTCTAGTCCACCTTAATTAAATGAATTTTACTTTAATTTATTACATGGTCTGTCTGAATACTCTATTCAGATTGGCTGGCATTGATGCATTAAAACCGTTTAATGCAGGTAGTTCCAAGTCAGTTTAATCACGTTCTGTATTAATGCGCCGCTGCTTTAATTGACACACACACAAACTAGTGCTGGGCAGTATGACCAAAAATGTATGTCACGGTATTTTTCAAAATGATACCGGTTTCACGGTACATGGCGATATTTAATTTTGTTTATTTTTTTATGTTAACCATATTTTCTACTGATTGAGACCAGAAATACTGCAGTATATTGACTTAGAATGCCCCATTTTACTGTCATGATGAGTGAATATTGTCAAAAAATACGACACTAAATAATGTCTAAACACGACTCGTTTTAATACATGTTAACCAGGAGTCACTCTCATTTATAATTGTGGCATCGTCTGATAAAATCAACATGCATCTACACTAAAGAGCGGATATGCGGTTGTTTTGGCTATATTACTTTTTTGTCTCATGCAGTGCACTGCCTGCGTCGGAGTAACAAACTAAAAAAAAAAAGTGCATGTGCTGTTAACAGACGAACTACGTTCATATTTATAATTACAAACAATCAGTAAGCGACAGGTGCTAGGAAACGCTGTTTTGTACTCATTTATTGACAAGTCGGCTGCGGTGTGGCCAAATGAATGCGTTGCTTCTCTGCCGCTCACTGCACAGAACAGACGCCGAGAGAGGTGACAGTTCATCGGGAAAGTCAGACCTCGCGTTCGCGGGACAGCACTGGCGAAATCTTCCAACTGAACCATAGCTAAGGTTTATCCAAAAAAGTCGCTAGGTTTGTCAGTATGAATATTCTATGGAAAAAAGCCGCTAAAAGGGTCTGAAAGTTGCTAAATCTAGTGCTAAAGTTGCGCTCGTGTGTGAGACGCGAGAGCTGATGGCAGGGGGCGGTGTATATTTGTGGCGATCAATGTGGATATTGTGGATGAGTTCTTCTATGTCATCACGTTCTATTAGTTCTACAGCTTCAGTTTCGGAACTTTCACACTTAGTAACACATATAGCTGTTCCCTCACCACAGTGCAACAGTGAAAAGGGACCCCTTTCAAACAGTGTCGCGTTCCGAACGTTGTTTAAGCGACATACACCGTAATCGCGGTATTTTTAAAATGAATATCATAACAAAAATAAACACCGGTATTCGGTATGAACCGGTATACCGCCCAGCATTAACACAAATGCACACACACATCACTTGCACAGAGAGAGAAAGATCAGAGATCCTGCTGCACACACAAAAATGTTCAGGAGTAGGCCAATATAAACTTGTCAATGTAACTGACAAATTTTTACCCATTCGGTCAAATATTGCGTTGCAAAGAGCAATACTAGTTTTAACTCATCTATAACTTGGCAAATGACCATGGAATAAGTGGGATAATCAACGGCTTGCTGTGCATTAAATGATTTTAGAAAAAAACTCAACACGACCATCTAGTGGACTGTAAAGAAATTGATTTTATTATTCTACCAAATATAATAAAAGATCGATACTTGGCATCCGTGTATCGATACAGTATTGCCGTGGAAAATATTGCGATACTATGCTGTATCGATTTTTTTCCCCCCACTCCTAATATATAGTACCAGTCAAAAGTTTGAACACACGAATGGGAAAGTGTCCAAACTTTTGACTGGTACTGTACTATAATATACACAAAGAATATCGGCTGATATATCGATATCGGCGTATGTTACTCCCTAATATCGGTATCAATGTCAACCCCCCAAAAAACCCATATCGGTTGGGCTCTAGTGTGGATGCTATAGTTACTTTTATCTTTATCGTGTGAATGTGCCTTAACAGTGCGAGATAGACGGGTGGAATGTTTAATTACCATCTCTGCCATGGCCCAGACATTTTGAAGCTGTGGTGGCTCTGACAAGAATGGGATGATTCATTTAGAAATAGACATGTGCATCCCTCAGTGTTCCACTCAGTGCTGTTGTGCTGTCAGTGAGTGCTGCTTGCTGTCTGTCTGCCGCTGTGCAACTCTTCCCACAAACTAGCCATGTCTGTCAAAACGTTCAGTGTCCCAGATACAGCCAGCACCTCTTTTAAAGACCTTGTGAACACAGCGGTTAAATGAGCATTTCATTTTAGTTTAACTAGAACATGTATTCATCTGTTTAGCACTGACTATACTGAAGTTATTTTTGTTCCTAGATATTTTCTAAAAAGAAAATGTTCATGCAAGATATTTTACAGTATGTGTTTATTATTTAAATGAACTGAGTTCTCGCATAGATTTTCTTTATAAACAAGAACCAATTATTCAATATGTCAAAGTTTGCATTGGTCAGTCTGAATGTTTAACTTATATGTGTTGCAATTTCATATTCTGCTGCCTAATGCATGTTTTAGCAATTTAAAACACCAAGTGAAATATTCCAAAACACATAGACAACAAGACAGAATGAAAACCTCAGTGTTCAGAACTTCTTGTCAAAGAAAATAACCAGTGTTGTTCAACCTTTTCTATGACCTTCATTTCTGTTCAACTCTGGTGACCTTGTAGTTGTATCATACCTTTAAAGGGTACTGACGGAACAAGCAAAGAAGACTACTGGTTGGATATTGGGTGCTGCATTAGTATATTTACAGTGATGGGCCCTTATGGACTTCAGTGTTGCTCTGTCTCCAACATTCTACCAAAGCAGTTAAAAGAGATCTTTAATGGTGCATTAGTAATTCATTTGCCACGTTTAATTTGTGGTTAAGATTGTTAGATGTAAATGTAACATGTAAATGTAATGTTTATAAAGCACGTAAGTGAACATTAATGTTGAACTTTCAAAATGCACTCATTTCCGACATAGACTACAGTTCAAAAATATAGGGTTTATATAATATAAATATTATGTCTGTTATTTTCAGCAGGGCTGCATTTATTTGATGGAAAATACGTTTGTTATAACAATCAATGCTGAAAAAAACATTCAGCTGCTCAATATTTTTGTGGAAACTATAAGTTTTTATTCAGTATTTTTGATGCATAGAAAGTTCAAAACAACATTTATTTGAAATAAAAATATTTCGCGATGTTATACTAGTCTTTACTGTCACTTTTGCTCAATTTAATGTGTCCTTGCTAAATAAAAGTATTAATTTCTTTCAAGAAAATTTGACCCCCAAACTTTTAGCATATGGCTGCTGTTTAATTAGGCAACATGTTTTAGAATGCAGACTTTAGGGTACAAAATATTTCATAATGCTTGGTGAGTGCTGAGATACATGATTTATATACATTAGGAATACCAAACGAAGATCTCTTTGCATTCTATATCTTCACCTCTGTATTTTATGGTAAATATGACAATAGTAATTGATTGAATTGAATGGTAGTTGATTGAGAAATTTATGTAACAGTCACAGTTGGTTTGTCCTGGAAAATGTTTTACCAAGTTCAGGACAAACTGGTTGATTTCTCCAGGTGGTCTTTCTGACTTGTTCACATTTGCTGTTTGCTTCAAAGGCTGTTCGCTGCTATGACGTCTACATCTTAAAAGCTGAAGGGAAAGTGGAGCCAGAGGTGTTTTGCCAGTTAGGTCACTTCAACCTTTTACTGGAAGATTATCCTAAAGGTGAGTTCTAACTCAAGGAATATTTCTTGTATTGTCATTAAAACATATCACAATCAGTCTTAATATGTTTCTTTTGTTTTCTTTTCAGCATTATCTGCATACCAGAGATACTACAGTTTACAGTCAGACTACTGGAAGGTGAGCAGGGACGGAGTGGGACTCATTTTCAGCCGTGGAGTTTCATGCCTTAGACCGGCCCACTTTAGTTCACGACTGACTCTAGGCCTATTTAAATAATGTAATTAAAACCTCAGTATATAGGCCTATGTCTGCAATAGTGAACTGTTCCCTACAGCCTTGTAATTCATTGTATTTTTGCTTGCATATCTTCAACAACTGATGTTATTTTTTTTAGCAAGGTGCCTGTCGTGGGAGTCAAAAGATAATTACGTCATCATTAGGGTTGCCAATTAACTTCAGAACTAGGCCTATTTAAATAATGTAATTAAAACCTCAGTATATAGGCCTATGTCTGCAATAGTGAACTGTTCCCTACAGCCTTGTAATTCATTGTATTTTTGCTTGCATATCTTCAACAACTGATGTTATTTTTTTTAGCAAGGTGCCTGTCGTGGGAGTCAAAAGATAATTACGTCATCATTAGGGTTGCCAATTAACTTCAGAAATGGAAAATAAGGGAAGCTCAAAATATTTGTACTGTGCCGTAATAGGGCCTTTTGCACCGCTTTAGTTCCAGAACTAAATGTACAGTACTAAAGTACTGGGACGATTTTGCGCAAACTATTTCCCAGTACCATTTAAAGGGTTGCATTCACACCTGAGAGTGTGTACTAAGAAGTGACGTAAGCCGGTCGACAGCGACGTCATTTGTGCGTGGCGTTCAACAACAGAAACAAAGAAGAACAACATTAACAACAGGAGGATGGAGGATGCTGTGATCGGAGCTGTGTTTTTGTTGTGTCTCGCGGGTTTCACAATAATGGATATGGAAAGTCGACGTATACGTAAAGCGATTGAAAGAACGGAAAGGAGGACTAAGAATCTCCAACGACAACTGGCAGTGCTACATTTGCTATAAGTGCCTGCACTACAGCGTCCGTCCATCTATCGCTGTTCTCCATACTTGCGAAATAAGTTGACACAATGTTTACAGTATGTTTACACAACGTTTTAAATCATGGCGTGTGAGGGTGTTTTCGTACGCGTTTGGCCAATCAATGTCTACTTGCGTCACGATTAGTACCAGTTGTGCTGGTTAGACTCTGCTCCGGAGTAGGAGCTAATTTGGTTCTCGAAAAAGGCAGTCCGGTACTAACATCGCACCCAGTTCCGGCGGTGCGAAAACGCCAAAAAGTGGGTAGTTCCACAATTAGTTCTGGTACTATGAAAAGGTTCCCGCGGTGTGAAAGGCCCTAAAGTCTGCCTAAAAAGTTCTCAGAAATAATCACATTAGTTTTGCTTAACCTATTTATATACAATTATTCTTAAAATAATTTTAATGTCATACAAAAAAAGTCATCGGCCTGAGTAAATTGTGCCATTACAGAATTGTGACTGCTCAAGTATTGTAGTAATTTAGGAGGTGAAAATACTGTGAAATTACATGCAAACAAATGGCATGAAATTTGAATGCAGAACAACTGAACTTCTATGAAACATCAGTCAATAAAGCATTTTTTTAAAATGGCACTTAAACTAAAATTTTATTGCAACCATGTAGCCTATGAATGAATGGAAATGCATATTTTGCAATTAAAGAAATCTTAGAGAGTGTGGCCTACTTCTGGTCCTTGGATTTGTACTAGTAGAAGTTGATGTAACCTATTTTTTTTTTCAAAAGTATTAACTTACAATAGTGAAAGGCGTCTTCCCTCATGTAGATTGAATGTTTTGATTGAATGCTGGATGTTGGCTCATGATCAATAAGTTGTTTGCATTCCCAAACTGATTTGGCAAAATCAAAATGCGGATAGTGAAAGGGAATTGCCATTAGCGCGAGTCCCGCTCGCTGTGAAGCAGGAGCAGACGGCAGAGGATTGATCGCTTGCAAATACGGGACAAACTGCGTTCCGAAGGCAATAGCTTTCATATGGAACGATTCCGTATTATACGGAATGGCTGGCAACCCTGCGAGTGGGCCTGGGAGAAAATAATAAATAAAAAGAGCGGGGGTGGGGCTGCTGTGAGTGCAGGCAGCCTAGGACAGTATCTATATCTCAGCCCCATGGCATAACAACACCGGCCCTCGTGGCCGCTGGGAATTCTCCCGGTCCGATTAGCCAATCCGGGCCTGAAGGTGAGGGATGATTGATTCTCATTGGTTGTGGACTTGCACAGTTTACACTTGTTGTTAAATCCTTCCAACGTGTAGGCAGTGTTAAATACAGTTGTTAACAGTGTCCAGTGTGTTTTGGGAATTCATTGTGATAGGATCACGCCCACTTTTGGAGGTGGTTGTAGATGCATGTGGTAATATTTCATTTGTCTAACGCAGCGGTGCCCAATCCAGTTCCTAGAGATCTACCTTCCTGCTAATTTCAGCTCCACCCTGATCAAACACAACCAAACCAGGCAATTAAGATATTCCGGAACACTTTATAATTACAGACAGTTGTGTTGAAGCAGGTTTGGAACTGAAATCTCCAGGAACAGATTTGGGCACTACTGGTCTAATGCGTCACAAACAATATCAAAAGGTGGAGTAATCATTGCGTCAAAACAAGGGTTTTAAATTTAAAGTCTGCTAAGCAACAATGATACAATAAGAACTGAACAAATGTACGCACAAGACTCAATGGACTATTTGTAGTATCACTACTTGCATTTGGATTGCCTGTAACAGGTGTAATTCCATGTGTCCGTTGTTAGTGAAAACAGTTCAGTTTGATGTGTCTGGCTAGGTGTCGCTGTCTGTACGAAAGTTTTTGAATGTGAAATGAGATCTTGTAGGAGTGTCAGTAATGGCCTCTGACAGTTCTGGGTTCTCTCCTAGAGCAAGAGTGACGCTTTTGGCTGTGAAATTTCCATAGCAGAGTAAACTTTCAATGTGATTTGACTTCAGATAGGGCTGTCAACTGTAGAAGTGTCTTCTCTCACATACCAGGCGCTAAGCCTCAGCATACGGCTAATAGAAACTGATTTCCAGCACAGATGGACTAAACATTCTTATGTGAGTTATTAGATCGTTTTTACTATAAATTAAATTTTTGTATTGGCACTATTTATTTTGGACGTCTGAATGGAAAATTTGCCAATGAAAACATTGCAAACCGCAGCTGTGGAAGTTGAAGATTTCATACTTTCTCCAAAGCTTAGGGTCGTCCCCCCCCCCCTTGATTTTATTTTTTGCTCTCAGAGTCAGGGCATGTTCTAAATTTGTGCCTGTGCTGAAGGTGTTAAAAAGGGGTGCTGTCTCTGCACTCAGAAAGCTGTGTGTGATTTGTGCAGGTGTGATGAGCGGCCCGTGTGCAGTAGCATCAACCTGTCAAGAGTGATGCACCATGCGCTTTGCAGTCAGTGCTTCTCTGGCACGCTTTATTCTGCGCCTGTCCTGACTTCACACTGCTGTCCGAGGTCTTGTGAGACAGTCATCCTTTTTAGATTGTAAATAAGTAGCGTGCGCTGTCATGCTGGTCGTTGAAAGCCCATGTCATTGTTGACTTCCTGATTGCATTGGAACAGAGCCACATTCATCTAAAATGTGAAACCTGGTTTGCACTTTCAAGACAGTCTTGTCATTTGAGTGCATTGGAATGCATGAACTGATAAAATGTGTACTTTGAATGCAGTGTCTGTCACATAAATGCAAATGCAAAATTTTCTCTTGCTTTATCTACTCTTTTTTTCCTGTAGGTCTACTCTGGTTAAAATGCAACAGCCTGAAATATAAATTGTTATTCACTGATAATTCGCTGCATATACTGGCTGTCATGAAACTCACCCTGTCTATATGAAAATGGTGACTGGGGTTTGTATTTGTTTGACCATATAGCCCAGTTCTAGTTTAATTCTTAAGTTATTCACTTTGTCAACTTCCCATCTAGTTTCATCATCTAACAAAAGTGCATTTGTGGGGAAGACAAGCCGCAGTGGCTTTCAGTTTTAGTCACGCTTGGCCTCTGTGAGCACAGATAAGAGGTTCAGACATGATAATGTTTCATTGATCCATATTGTCTTGCACATTCCTTTATGTAAATATAATCTTTTGTGGTTGCGGGAGACAAAGACTTTGCCACCTTTTTAATTTAACACATGCTCATTAGCTGCAGACATTTCTGTCCCCTGCTGAGTGCAAATGCGTCAGACCCGCTGTGAGAGTAAACCATCCTTAATCATGTGTACGGTGCCATTCTTTATTAGAAAGCCATTTTGCTAGAGATGCACCGATTGCAATTTTCTTGGCCGATTTCGATTTCTTTTTTGTGTTTTTTTTTTGTTAGTGTGATCTGCCGATACCGATTTTTGCCGATTCCGATTTTCTTTCTAAGAACTATAATTGACAGCATATTCAAACAAAAATCTACTTTTCTTCAACGCAAAGTTTTATTTAAAAAAAAAAAAAAAAACACTAACTTTAATGGTAAGCATTAATCTGTATTTAATTTTTACAATGAAGACTACAGAAATTAAAGTAATCAAATGTAAAATAAAACATCCAGTGTTTTTACATTTGATTACTTTAATTTCTGTAGTCTTCATTGTAAAAATTAAATACAGATTAATGCTTACCATTAAAGTTATAAAACGTATTCAGTCAAGAGCAGAAAGTGATTTTCTTTGTCTTTTGTTCTTTGATTAACATGACAGACAGCAGCAGGAATATTGGACTGCGGTCCCTTTATGAGTTTATCCACGGACCCAATATACTGTAACACAACATGCATTCTCTTTCTCAACTATTCAATGTTCCAAAACTGACTGTGTTTAACTGAATATTCGCTAAGACGGGCATTTTGACGTAATTTTGTATGCATTTGAACGTTTTAGTGCAGTTAGCCACTCACTTTGGTATTTGTGGCTCACAAGCTGTTTGAGACTGAGCGCGGCTTGTGCGCTCCACTAATATAGATCAGTGTGCATTTGGTATGAGCGTGAAACCTGCGGGAATTACTAAAAGAATGCGCAATACAAGCACTATTTAACCAGAGCGAATGAGACGTGTGTGTGAGAGAGAAGGGGTCGTCGGAGAGAAGAGAGCGAGAATGCGCGGCTGACGTTATTGCCTGTGCCTCTGGTAACAAAAGGATCGGCTCGGAATCGGAAAGAAGTGAGACTGACCGGCCGATCACCTATGCGGGCCGATCATGAGGAAAATCAGCCGATTCCGATCCCTGGTCGATCGATCGGTGCATCTCTACATTTTGCTGATTAATTCAACTATGATGAATTAATGAATAGTTTCTTCTCATTATGTTTCTAACTCTCAGCTTTATTTTTTTTACAGAATGCTGCCTTTTTATATGGCCTTGGTTTGGTTTACTTCCATTACAATGCTTTTCACTGGTAAGTACACAATTACTGTGTGTTCTTTGATGCATTTGTTTTCTCAGGCATTCCGTCTAGTTTCTTTTTCTTTTTTCATCTGTAACGTAACATTGTTGAAATATCATCCCTAATGGCATTTTTCATGAACTGAAGTGTGATATTGATGCTTTCTCAGCTTACAGACTAATTAGAAATTCTGTATATTATCCTCCTCTTGTTCGTATTTTTTATTTTTTTATTTTACTTCATTTTGTACGTTTTTACGTCTTTTTTTTTTTTTTTTTACTGCAGAAAGTATGTGCGTTATTTTTTTGTCCACTTTCTGTCGATGGATAACTGAAGTGTTGTTTTGGAGACCGTATCTCTTGGTGGCTTTGTCTAAAGTATGGCTAAGCAATTAATTGAATTAAAATTATTGTTGTGAGATGCGATTAAACCACAAAATGATGGCAGTTAAATATACGGTCTGCATGCACTGTGTGGTTCAAAGTAAAGGGGCTCTTCATTCTCCTTTTGTTTGTAGTCTACTAAAATATGTGTGCGTGCGTGCGTGCGTGAGTGTGTGTGTGTGTGTGGACTGTTTTTAGAGTGCCTTCCAATTTGTACATAATCCACAAACTTTCGCTCAGGAGGTGATATGAATTTGGTTCAATGGGCCCGTTATAATTAACCTAGCGCATGTTTGTTTGTGTTCCTAGTTCTGTATTGTGTGTCTGCATCGTTCTACAAGTATACAGCCAAAATGCTAGTTGGCGGTGCTGGCTACAGCAGGAAAGGTCAAGCAGAAAACATTTCTGGAGAAGTGGCAACTATGTTGACAAATAGACATCCACTTTTGTTGCAAAAGCATTTAATAAACATTGTGAAATTCAATTTTAAATTTCTGTTGTTCTTTGATATTGTACATATATAAACAATGATAAAGGACATTTTTGGATCACTTGATTCATTTATGGTTTATGACCTTCTCTGTCCTCACTTGTTTCATTAGAAGCTTAAAAACGCAACACTCAGGCACTAGGTGATTACTGCAAGATGTGATAAAAAAGACATTTGATTTATGTTCAGCATAGTCCAGTTATGAGTTAAAAGTCTTGGTCTTAAGTATTAAAGGGGTCATATGATGCGATTTCAATTTCTCCTTTCTCTTTGGAGTGTTACATCTCTTGGTGCATAAAGAAGATCTGTAAAGTTGCAAAGACTAAAGTCTCAAATCCAAAGAGATATAAAGTTTAGAGTCAACCACGCCTACCTAAAACGGCTCGTTCTAACACACCCCCACATGTCTACGTCACAATGTGGGAAGATTTGCGTAACGCCACCCAAATGTTCATGCAAAGAAAGAAGGTGTAACATTTATTCTCGCTGGTGCCGCCGCGGCCATGTTGACTATGTATGTTGACCATGAAACTACTTTGTTTGGCCTTCCATAAGAGGACTATATCCGCTTCATCATGCCTGGAGCTGATCCATGCTGGTCGCTGAGGAAATACGTCAACTTTGCGCTGTGGATCGCGGGATCAGCTTTCACCGTGGACAAAGCGGAGTCCAGCCTGGGGTCGTCACATGTGGATTGCGCAAGCCCGCCGGATGCTCCTTTGTCGAATCCGCCTGACACGCCGTTCTCAAGCCTACCTCTGCTCACTCAAGCCGGCCTCCGTTCACTCTAGGCCACGGCTCACTCTAGGCTTCCGGCCTCTGCTCACTCAAGGCCACGGTGTGTGACGCTGTTTCATTGTGAAAGCGAAACTGCTTTGTTTGGCCTTCCAAAAGAGGACATGACTAGAAATCAGTGGTTAAGTTGTATTTACAACACTGTTCCAGAACAGTTTAACCCAAATATTCAGATGTGTCCAGCGCATTTTATGGAGGACTGTTTCATGATCCTGGTAGAGTAGAGCCAGCTGTTCTGACTCACAGACTGTAAGTACGATTTTTTATATTTAAAGAATTTGCCACTTACAATTCAAACGCGGGTTTTGAGCAGTGTAGAGTAGCACTTGTTGTTTGTCATTTCTCCGATCACAAATGCAGACATGGTCATTATAATCTGTAATTATGTTCCCACTGGATGCAACAAATGCCTTGTTTATAATGGGTTTTAATGTTTATGTCTCGTAGCTCCGGCCGGACAGGGCATCACAATATGGTAAGGGGTGTAACATTACCGTCACACGCTTGAGGTATTCGGCCAGTCACAACGCTCTTGTTAGCTGGCCAATCAGAGCACACCTCGCTTTTCAGACCGATGAGCTTTGTAAAAATCGCGTTTCAGAAAGGCGGGGCATAGAGGAGAAACAACGTATGCGGAAAATAATGTTTTTTTTTTTTACCTTAAACCGCATAAACACATTTCATTACACCAAATACACAAAATGTTCTTTTTTTAGCAGCATCATATGACCCCTTTAAAACAGTAAAATTTGTTGAAAATATGCAATATTTATTACTCATGGATTCGGTATAATATCTGTCTCTCTCAGCATTTACAGTGCTTGGCAAAATTGGTCACTGTAAATTTTGAACATACTCATTGAATGAGTTTTTTTCTTTTTTTACGTCTCATGTTTTTGGTCAGTTAAGTTGTCTTTACCAGTTTATACAGGTTTTTTTTTTTCCCAAAAAAATATTGATAGTTCATAAGGATTCACTTAAATGCATATGATTATACTGTCTCTAGTCAGGTTACATTAGATTACATTTAACATTTCAAAATCTGCCAAAGACCAATATTATGTTCAGTTGGTAATCTTTAACCATCACAGAATGGCGGTCGGATCTTAAAGGATTATGGGAAAATCATCACATTCCCTCATTCATGAATCAGTCCACTCCCCCCCCCCCCCCCCCCCCCAATGTTTTTATGGTACTTTTTTTTTTT